GAGTTGAACCCGATCAGGGGAGATACGACAGGTGCCAAGTCTTTGTCCTTCAGTTTCAGTTGTTTAAAGGTTTCGTAATACATTATCTCGCACGAGCTTCCTTGGTCGATCAAAATCCGTTTGATGTCGTAATCTATGACGTGGAGTGTGACGACCAGTGCATCATTGTGAGGGCAATATATCCTTGCCAAGTCTCTGTCTGAGAAGGATATGACGTTCGTGGCTTTTGTTTTCCCCTTTTTGATAGTAGGTTGCGCACTCAATACCTCCCTTAAGTGTTCAGCCTTTTTGATCGTTCCCCTGAGCTCACATACTCGCTCAGGTTCGAATACCCCATGTATTCAATTAATCACGCCTTGAGGTGGGGCGTCGATCGGTATTCTATCTGGGCGACCGTAGTTCTGGGGGGCTGGCTGTGTCCCTCCTTCTATGTATCGGTCCAGATGCCCAACTGCCACTAACTCCTCCAGATGCTGTCTCAACGGCGTGCAATTTTCAGTGTAGTGGCCCTTTTCCTTATGGAAGGTGCACCGGGATCTTTCGTCGTAGTCCTTTTGTGCTTCTCCCAGTTTAGTTGGCCATCTGACGAAAGGTTCATCACGTATCTCACTGAGAACTCGGTAGATTGGTTTCTTGAATACCGTGGTAATGGCCGTGCGGACTCTCAACCATCTATTATCTAGGTCCTCTTCGTTGTCTCGCCTGCCTCGTCTATTCTTGCTTGGACGTTCTACTGTGTTTACTTTTGCCGTAGTCTTCTTATCTAGCGCTGCTGTTGCACCAGATTTTGCTTTAGCACGGGCGCCATCCTCCTCCACTCGAATATGTTGGTGCACTCTCTCCATCAAGGCTTCCATCGTGAGGGGTGGCGTCATAGTAATTGAATCCCTCAACTTGTTTCCGATTGGAAGTCCTCTTTTGTATTGTGCAATGGTGAGATTTGTGGGGCAGTCCCCTATCTGGTTGAATGTCTCCCAGTAGCGACTGTTGTAGGATCTCAATGTTTCCTTGTCGCCCATGTCAATGGAGAGTAGCTGATCGATCTCCATTGGGGTCTTGGTGTTCGTTCTGAACCTTGTTACGAACGCCTCTGCCAATTGTGCCTAGGAGGCTATGCTGCCTTCTGGTAGCCTTTCGAACTAGGTTAAACCTAGGTCGCCAAGGCTTGATGGGAATAGGATGCACATCAAACCCTCGTTTCGCTGGTATACTGCCATGACCTGGCAAAAGTGGCTTAAGTGCGAGTAGGGGTCTGTCTTCCCCTCATACGTGGTAAATTTGGGCTGAAGGAAGCCGGAAGGTAGGGGTGTGTTCTCAATTGCCAGAACGAACGGTGAGATCTGCAGTCTTGCTGTTGGTTCGTAAGCAGGGCGTGCTATTGGCATTCCTACCTCGACGCTTCCATGCGTCCGAGGGGCCAACCACTGAAGGGCTGAGACTCTGCGCGGGTCGCGTGCCCTGGTATCCTCTTTCCATCGTGCCTTTTCTTCAAGCACAGTCCATAGGTCGGACGATCTAAGCAACTCCGTTTGCCTGGACGCATTCTGGTGGGTGCGTGAGGGCCGATAGGTGCTTCCCTCAGTGTAAGACCTCAATGTTCTCGTTCTCTCAGACCTGGAGTAACGAGTCCTGGAAGACCTTGATTGAGTGTCGCCTATCCTGAGGCTTTTACTCTCTGCTTGAGACGGTGTAGTATGCCTACCACGATCCTCCGAGTGGCGAGGGGGCGTGTTGCCTTTGCGCCCCTCTCCTGGCACCACCCATTTTCCCTTGATCTGGCGCTTCATGGCCTCCATGTCTGCCGCCATCTTCCTTATTAGTTCATCTTGCACTTTTACGTGATCCTCTACTGCTTGAGGGTCGATTCTTCGCCTTTGCCTTTTCAGGACTTTTTGAGTGAGAGCGACGGGGGCTGTTGTTCTGCCTCCCCCTTGCATCCCTCCGGGGATTCTGTCACTGGGGCTCTAAGTTTGCCATGGGAAGGATAAAGGGCAAACCTTCGCGCCTCCCACCCCCCTCTGGGGTTTGTCCGTTGATGGCGGACTGCTGCAAATCTTCATTGTGAGCTATTCAACTAGCGAGGAAAACTTGATCAAAATGTTTTTTTCTTTGTCTGATATTCCCACAGATGGCGCCAATTGTAAGAGCAAGAAATAATCTTCTCGTATAACCCTATTGATCATGTCCGCGCTCCTTCAAACGTCGTCGCTTTACTCCCTAAAACACAAACGTGAGCTAGTCGGCGGGTGTGTGCCGGATACCTCTCCAATGCCTAAGTCAGCAAAATAGACAAATAGACAAGCTTTGTGTATTCGAGAATCAAAGTTGTGTTACTGCTCCACAGGTGATGTTATGAGCTTTTATAGGTTCCGTGTGGCACAATTCTAGTAGGACTCTTACTCCTCCATGTAGAGTCCTCCTAGGAATCACATTCTTGAAAGACAATGCTTATCCTTCAACACCTCCCTCACTGCTTAAACCAAGTGAGATGGTTTTACCATGGTTGGATGTCAATACGACCGAAATAACATGGCCACGCTAAAGCCGCAGACTAGACCGAGCTCCAACTAGCTCTGTTCTTCCTTTCACTGCGCGTGTACCTCGGTTGACATATTCTAACTAGATTGTCTGAAACCGTGCTATCCACAATGAGCTTGGACCGAGCTATCTAACAACAAGGTCCTAAGTAGAAGCCAACGATACCTCAGCTCAAGATGGTTTGATCGAGCTAACTGCCACCGTACCGACCATGGTGACCGATCTAACTGCAAGGTTCTCTGGGACCGGGCTAACTGTAAGGCTCTCTGGGACCGGGCTAACTATCAGGCCTTTTTACTCAGTCCTTCTCACTGTAACCCATAAAACAACCCATCACCTAACTCGGCCCAATTTCCACATAAATTACCCTCTCACCAAACAAGCTCTAAATCTTATTACACCATTAAATTTTAGTGAATTACCAATATAGCATTATTTTCCTCTTGGTTCATTTATAAAATATGTATTCCAAAAAGATTATTGTTGTCCCAAGAAATAGAAATCAAAATTTAAAAAAATAGTTTTATGAGTTTTTTAATTTGTATTTTTAAATTTTTAGTATTTTTTAGCTATTTTAATCAATTTTTTAAAAACTTTTTAGATCTACTACATCTTGATATATTTAGAAAGTATAAAATTTGTACAAATTTTTTTTTTAAAAATTATTGAATATAACAAAATATAAAAATGTATTGAATTTTTATATTTAATAATTTTTTTTTATTTTTTTTTATAAATATTATATTTTTTAAGTGTATCTAGATTATGTGTATTTAATATAAATTTTTTTTTATAAACTATTAAAAAAATCAGTAAAATTAAAAAAAATGCATGCTTGGTTAGAGTTTTCTAAAAACTCTTTTCAAAAAATTCTACTTTTTTGTTTTCTGTGTTTTTTTATTTTTACTGATTTTTTTTAATATTTTAAGTAATTTTTTTTAACTTTTTAGACATACTTAGCATAAATATACTTAAAAAGTAAAAAAATTATGAAAGAAACCTTTTAAAAATTCACTAAATACCAAAAATACAAAAAAAATACGAGAATTCCATACATATTTTGTATTTTTATGTATTTACTAATTTTTTAAAAATATTTTTTTACAAATTTTTTACTTTTTAGATACATCTAAGTAAAGTGCATCTAAAAAAGAAAAAAAATTATTTAAAATTTTAAAAATATTCACTAAAAACAAAAAAAAAAAATACGAAAAACAAAAAGCAATTTTTAAAAAACTGAAACCAAACACACTTATTTTGTTTTTTTTTTGTTTTTTGATACATCGAAAATAAAACACGATCTCTTTTGGGTTTGCTCAACTATCCGAGTTTCAATTGTCAACCTCAACATCTTGTCTCCCAAACCCAAGTCTGGATTGCCTCCTGCTGTTGTTACTCCATCATCATTCGCCGAGATTGTCATCACCATCTCCGTTTGAAGGACAACAAGTTTCTTCACATGGTGATGAGCTGTTTGTTAATTTTGTCTTTGAATCATGCACCAGATTCTCCCTCTTCCCCGGGCCTTCGTCTTCCTCTCTTACTTCTTCTTTGTCTTCGTCTTCAGTGTATAGATGGGGAGGCAGTACCGAGTCTAGGCGTTCCCATTCTTCAATGTCCATTCCAAACTCTAGGTAATTAGCTCCAGACATTGCTAGAGCTTCAAATGAAATTGACATGATTTTTGAAAGATTATATTAGGATCTTGGTAAGTATAGCTTTGATGGTTCAAAAATGTAACTCCAATATTGTTTTCTAATATGAGGTAGAGTTGTTTTTAAATTTAAAATATTAAAATTTTAAATTATTTTAATTTTTTGAATATTTAAATTATTTAAATTTTTACGATTTAAAATTTTTGAATATTTATTTTAATTTTTTACTTATTAAATTTTTTAGATTATTTAAATTATTTAAATATTTATTATTTAAATTTTTTAAATATTTATTTTGAAAAAAAATTATTTCCTTTGTAGTATTTTCAATTAAAAAATTGATTAAAGTTATTTTTTGTTAATAATAAATTTTTTTAATTGAATTTTAAAAAGAGTTTGGTTTTGAGTATTGATCAAAATTTTCAATAATGTGAAAGTAATATGTTTTGTTATGAGTTATAGCAATTTGAATTAAGTTTTGAAAACTCTTTTCAAAACTCATAACCAAACAAATTTTCTTACTTCACATGTCAAATCAAACTTTCAAAACTCAATTCTACACTCAATTCCACACTCAATTCAACACTTTATTCAAAAACCATAACCAAACAAATTTTCTACACTCAAATCATAATTCTAAAACACACAAACTCAAAATACAACTCATATTCTCAAATCATAGTTACAAAGCTCTACCAAACGGAGCCTTAATCTAAAAAATTCAAACCAGACGGACTTATATTTTTAGAAAAACCGACATTAGAGTTGAGCAAAACTACGTCGTTTCAGTTAAATGAAAAAGTAAACAGGAAAAAAAGAACGAACAGATCAGCAGCCGCCCCTTCCTCTTCTTTTCCCATCGCCGGCCGGCGCCACTCCAGCCAAGCCATCCGCCGCCCCCCTCCTCTCCTCCTCCTCCTCCTCCTTCTCCTCCTCTCTCTCTCTCTCTCTCCAGATTGCAGGTTATCTGTCTCTCTAAAAAATCACTTTCTCTGCTTGTATTATGGTTTGTGCATTTTGATTACTCATTACATTGCTTTCACCATTAAAAATTTCTTTAACCAAATCTCTCACTTCACATACAGTACATATAGATACACTTGCATCTATCTATAGTCTGTGTATACCTATCAAGCATTGTGCCTTCATACTTTGCAGAATATATATATATATGTGTGTTTTTACCTTTTGATTTCTAGTAAAATGAAGAACACACACAGAAAATTTGTGATTTATGTATGTATATCGATAGTATTGATCTTTACTTTGATTGTAGATCTAGGGTTAGGGTTTTGGGGGAGGAAGAAGAAAAAGAAAAAGAAGAAGAAGAAGAAGAAGAAGAGGTAGAGGAGAGAAGAGGGGGCGGCGGATGGCGCAAGAAGGGAAGGAGAAGGAGGAAGAGGAAGAGAGGTGGAGAGGGGCGCCTGCCGGAGATGGATCCGGCAGCGAGTCGGTGATGGGACGCGTGTCTTTTATCTTTTATCTTTCTCTTTTTTTTTGCGGTCTTGTTCAAAACAACGTCATTTGGATCAAAATGATGCCGTTTTGAACCACTCCATGGCCACTCTAGAGGATCCGAACGCATTTTTCCGAAAGGGCTTGTCAGGCTAATCCTATTTTCCTATTGGCAACAATGATGAATGATGAGTAATATTCCAAAAAAGATTGTTGTTTCAATCAATAGAAGCCTAACCAGACCAAAACCACTATGATAATAGTGAAGAAACATAAAACATCACAAATTAGTTACATAATCTTTGACAGAAAGGTGGGTTAGGGTTTTCAAGAATTATTTTTAGATTTTAAAAAAACAAAATTTAGTCAATTTATTTTCTTTGAAATCCCTGGAATTTTGTCACAGATGCATCCTTTTCCAAAGTTCATGTGAATAGGTTTTCTGGGTTTTTACTTTTCCCAAATTTCATTCCAATTTTAGGGTTTCTTGGCCACTTTGTCTGTTGAGGTTGTTGATAGATTGTTTTACTCATAGGGGAAAGTGTTTTTGGGGTCCAAAGACTGGTAGGTTTGGTCTGTAATAGGTGATTTCAGGGGCAGCCACAAAGCCAGTTTTACTGTAATCAGATATCTGGGTTAGGGTTTGATGTTCTGAATCTGATTTTCAACTTTAGAATTCTAAACTTATTTTCCTGGTTTATTGATTTTATTTTTTTCCTGCTCTTTTTCTTCCTGGTTTGGTTTTTTTTTTTTTTTTTTCAACATCAGGGTGGATTTCAAATGGAGTTTTGAGCCGCTTTAGGTTAATAGACATTTTAGATTCTTGGATAGAGAAAATGTTGGTCCATAATTTTTTTTTTCACCAAATCTGGTTGGTTGTTATTTTTTATTTCTCATAGTTATGAGCTTGGCAGTGAAATTAACAATTTTAATGGCTTTTTTGGATCACTATGTTTTGATAATTTTTTTTTTTTTTCCTTATAATGATTTCATCTGTTGCAGAGCTATGAAAAGTTTCAATTAAAAATTGATATATAGAATCTGCAAAAAACATGAATTGTTTTGGAAAAAAATTTGGAGTCTGTAATGAAAAACTGTTATGGTTTTCAAGGGTGCCCAAGTACCTTAGTTTTATGATGTTACATTTTGTGAATTCATTTGATGCTGTTTCTTCTTATATTTATTTGAGGTCTTGGCAGAATAGTTGAGCTTTAGGGCTCTATGTAAAAAAATTAATCTCAAAACCTTTTGGTGAATGTTGGGGTGAGTTTTGAAGCTTATTAAGGATGTAAAGTAGTATAGAGGTATCAAGATTGAATTTTTGTGGGAGATTATCTCGTGAACATAACTGATACATTTTAAGATGCAAGAGGATTATTCTAAAACTTGCATGCAGAAATTGTTGTACATGTCTTTGGTCTAGAGTCATCAAATATTACCCTAAAGCCTTTTGTTTCATTATTTGAGTTTGTTACCAGAAGAGTTTGACAGCATCTTCTTCTCTTTTCATATTCACATCTATTCTGCTTCTAAAGATTTGATCCTTTTCACCAGTGATCCTTGATATTGTAAGTGGCAATCAGAAGACCATGATTGTGGTGGAAAATCTCAGTTTCTGCTTGGTCCAAGCATGCCCAATTGACAACCGGTCAAAAAGAGTGTACCGATTTCGCTCTTACCATATCTTGTCCAAGTCGAGTCGAGTCTCAAACTTCAACACAACGGAGGCCATATTGATAACCTGTGAACACAAAAGAAGGTGCAAGTGTTTTGATCTCTCCAAAGAGCTAGTACCATATCGTGAGGCATGGTCTTGGCAAAAGTCAATTGTTAAGGAGAGGAAGGCATTGATTGAATTGAATCAAGATTTTTCAGACACATTGATTGTTTTACAACACCACCCTGTTTATACCTTGGGCACTGGTAGTTCAAAAGAGTACTTGAATTTTGACATAAATGATGCCCCTTTTGATATTTATCGAACTGAACGTGGTGGTGAAGTTACATACCATGGTCCTGGTCAGCTAGTAATGTACCCTATCATCAATCTACGCTATCACAAGATGGATCTACATTGGTACCTCAGTCGACTTGAAGAGGTGGTAATTCGTGTTCTTTCCTCAATGTTTTCTATCAATGCTTCCCGGATTGAGGGTCTGACGGGTGTTTGGGTTGGCAATCAGAAATTAGCAGCAATTGGGATACGAGTATCGCAGTGGATAGCATATCATGGCTTAGCACTGAATGTCACCACTGATCTCACTCCCTTTCAACGGATAGTTCCATGTGGGATACGGGATCGTCGGGTTGGAAGCATAAAAGAACTGCTGATAGAATATTTGTTGTCCAATCAATCGGGAATACAGTATGCTGATGATTGCAAAATGATTGATATCACTTGCAAATCTTTGGTCAAAGAGTTTTCTGAAGTTTTTCAAGTTGAAATCCACCACAAACCAATCCCATCATTGGAGTTCTGAAAGGGGGAACCATCATCAACTTTGCTTAATGCAAACTTACGTAGTGAGAAACCAATCACAGTTTGTTTGAATAATTTCAGGCAGAGAAATGATTGTCTGATGATACTGTTAAATTTTTCCATGGTCTTATGTATCCATAAACTTCTAGTGGTCTGCATTGCAAAACAACCCACCTGGTTTGTATTTCTTATATTTATCCTGAATATGTAATTTCTTTTTATTGTGTACTTTCAGAATTTAATTACTCTGATTCAAAAATGTTTTCCGAAAGAGATTAAAGAAGTTGTTGCTCTTAGAATTACGGCGGGTTGAATTAAGTAAAGTAGTGCTTTTCGAGTTTGTCTGATCATAGAAAAACAATCAAATTAAAAGGTGTATCTTGTAGGAAAGTCATAGCAAGGCTATCCTTGTTTTCAAAAAGTAAATAAATTAAGAGAACTGACTATGTGTCACACACCGGCTAAGCGGAAGCCTTGGCAAGGGGTTGAAGGTGTGTGTGGCGCTAGTTTGCTGTCCTTACTAGCTCGCCAAGATAGCACAATGGTGTTTGCAAAGGCAAGCAAACACATTAAGTTAGTTGATGAGCCACAAAAGTTGGAGACAAACTACAATATAGCAAGCAATAAGCTAAATTTAAAATAGGCAACAATAGGCACAACTATGCACAAGACTTCAACAAAATGAGCTCTTTAATTAATCAAAAGATGGCATTACATAAGTTGAACAATGCACAAAAGTATTACAAGAGATGCCTTACCAATGGTCTAGCTTAGGGTACTTTAAAGACACAAGTGGTTTGGTTCAACACTTGAGGTACCCCCACCTTCATATAGCATTTTTAGGCCATTTACAAAGTGGCAAGAGGAAACATCCTCTATGTTCGAGGAATCACAATGAATTTCCAAAAGGTCTATACACAATGAGAAAAATTACAAGACTTGGTCCAAAACACCTTTCATACTAAGGTATTTACATAAAAAGTCACAAAGGCAAAAAAAGATAATTTGGTCCCTCAAATATTGGCTAAAAGCTGCTGCTGCACAGGTGCTGGGGCTGGCTGCCTTGGGGCCTTTGCTTGCACTTGCACCAACAACTCCTCAGGCATATTTTGGACTTCCCAAAGGGCACAAATGTGTGTGGCATCAAGGTGTTGACCCTTGGAGGGGTGCACCTTGGCACTATGCCGAGAACTTGCTATGCTGTGCAGTACAAAATGCTGAGTTCTAAGAAAATTTCATGCATGAAAAATGAGTTTAGCCAAAATGAGGATATTGGATGGATTAGTCGCTACAAAAGGACATGTAAATAAGATGTTTGTGCCTAGAAAAGTCTGTTGATGTATCCAACTCAGGATAATATTAGTGAAAGTTATCTGAAATGGTGTAGCCATGTGATGATGATCAATGCAGATCAGAGGAAGGCAAGAAAGATTATGAGTTGGGAATTTTAAAATGATGGTGGCTTTGGCTTATAATTTAGAGATGGATATGGCTATAGATAGAGCCTCATGAAAACTACTGATGCAGCCATCCCAGAAATTAGGATCAAAGCCTTTGTTGTCATCATTGTAGTTGTTAGCATAAGAATTTTTAAATCCTTGGGTCAATTTGTGGAATACTAATATTGTATCAATTGGAGGAGGAGAATATATGTTTTTATTTTATAGGTAAGGAGAGGAGAACATAATTATATTTTAAATATACAGTACACGGGTAAATGGTCACATATTAACCTGTCTTCTTCTTCTTCTTCTTCTTCTTCTTCTTCTTCGTCTCTTCTCTCTCTCTCTCTCTCTCTCCCTCTCTCTTATTGTCTCTGAGATTCTGACCTTGTGCAGTGTGGTGGCTGCATTCTCTGAGACTCTGACCTTATATAGCATGCTGGCTGCATAACTACATTGATACAGATGTCAGCATTCAATATGGACGCAACATGTCTAAAATAGAAACCTTGAAATAAGTGAACTGTTTTTTTTGGTGATTCTCTTAGAAAGTGTTTATGGTGGACTTAAGAGAGAACTGACAGAGGATTCTCATTATTTTGTGGGTTTTTGGTGTACTTCTTAAATTTGTGCGACAAACCAATATCCCCTCTTTTAGGAATCTTTTTAAGCTAGATTAGAAGGAGACGACTCACTACAAGAAATTATAGATATTGCAGAGTTTTTATTATGGCGTTAATGGAAATGCCTTTATTGGTCAACCAATCACCACATTCTTGAAACATTGTCTTCGAGTGAATTTAAATGATGTTGGTTTAGTATGGATTGCTGAAGCTGGTAGTTGTCCAAAACTCTGTCTCTCTTATGGTCCTCAGACCTCCGTTGCTCTCTACACTTGTCAGGTCTCATCCCTTTCCAAATGCCTCTGTCTCTCTGTTGAACTGTCACCCGCACCCTCACCCTCACCCTAACCCTAACTCGAATTCGAACTCTGTCTCTCTTTTGAATGTGCGTTCCATTTCTCACTTGAATTCTCTCTCGCTACACTCTCTCCATCAGATTTATTTTGAAGGCTGTTGTGGCTCTCGAGTACGGATTTGAAGGTATTCTATCAGATCTGTTCTTCTCTCTCCTGATTTTGTGAGTGTTTCAATTTGTTCACCCTTTTTTTTAGATTATAAACATTATAACTCAGATCGCGCTTCTCTCTTTTGATTTTCTGTTTTTATTAGATCTAGTTGTTCCTCAATCTATCGTTTATGATTTTCTGGTTTTATATTAGATATCATTGTTTGTCAATCTGCTGCTTCTTGCTATTTTTTCAGATCTGTTTGATAGATATAGATTTCTGTTCACTTTTTGTTTTTTCCCCTCAGATCTGTTCGTCGATCTGTTTTGATTCATTAATTTTTGTGGCCTTTCTCTTATATTGATCTATATATAAATATATATATATATATATATATATGTTGGTTACACGTAAATGAGTTGAAGTTGAAAATTGCTTGAGTTGAAGTTTGAAAATTGTTCCTTTTACTATCCAGTGTAAACTCAGGTTTCTTAATCCAAGGTTTGATGTCCCTAATCTAAAAGTCCCAACCTATCATTCAGCAGAAAGCTTCATAAAATTTTCAGGTTTTGAACTATGCAACGAACTCGTCAAAAATTGATAACATTTTTACATTCTCTGCCTTGGTTATCATCTAGTAATTTTGTCTATTGGATGCAATAAGTGCACATATGGTTATCATTTTTTTAAATGCTGAGTTTAAATTAAAAAAACAAAATCTTAGGAAGCATAGAATGCTAATATTTTGTTCTTTGTTTTTTGTTTCCAAGTTAGAAATAGTACAATAATTGAAAACACTATGTTTTAGAGCATTTGGTATTAAATAAGGATTCTCAATAACTGTCACTTCACAGAATTTCATTTCAGAAACAGAAAGATGAATGGAACTTGATGAGTTTCACCACTAGAAAAACCACTATATAGGTTATGAATGAATGGAAATTAGGCAAAGGGGTTTTGCTGAAATTGATTAATCTGCTGCTGCCATTTTGAATCCACGAGGTTAATTCCATTTTGTGGCTGATTGATCTGCTTCTAGTTTTAAGTGTATTTCTGTTTTGTAGGTTCTTTTTATTTGATTGGGTTGTCTTTTAGTTTTGCTGGTGGGGGTTTTGTGGCTTTGTTGTTTTTGTTTTTGTGTGTGGGTGTTATTGGTGGTGTAATGCTTCGGGTGTTTTGTTGGCATCTTGCCAATCTGGAGGTGTTCCTTTTAGGTGTTTTGGATGAAACTTAGATTTGCTAAGAGGTTTGCCATCTTAATTTGGCTATACCGTTTAGTGATGGAGATTTTTTCTTTAAAACTACTTGAAAATATTATATTAATGTATGAGTTAGCTACTCAAAATGATTAGATGCTTATTTAGAAGTTAACACAACGCTTATGGTTAACTTCAAGTTTTATTCTTCCTTCCAATCTTGCACCTCTCCAATTTGGGAATAATACGTGTTGTACTAACATGTATGGAGATTGTTGCCTTTGATTTGTTACTTCACGATGGGAGCAAAGAGACATACTTTTCATGTGGCAATTCAGATTCTATGGAATTTGTCACTCTAGACATTTTCAATGGTCCCAGGCTGATGTTGAATCTGATTAAATGCTGAAGATTCCTGAAAAGGACAGGCCATTGCATGAGGCTTCCGCTACTACAGCTAGAATAATTTCTATGACACCATCGCATAACTATACAAACTGTTATTTCCTTATATCCTGTTAGTAGACAATGTTCAAATGGCTTGGGATGTCATTCCTCAATGTACCTTTTTCAATCCTTTTAGGCAATGGGTTATGAAACTCTAGAATATTTTATTAAGCCTAGTTCTTTTTTTTGTTTTTTAAATCAGTGACATAGAATTTGGAAACAGTGTATGGACTTTTTGAGGTTTTGAAACTTTGTCCCATTTATATGACAGTTCACAATTTAGATCAAATAAGATCTGGAGTGGACAAAAAAGTTCATCTTTAGATTTTTATAAAATTAAGGCATATCAATTGAGTTTATTTGCATTTCCAAAGCTTGTTTAAAGCAAGTAGTCTGATTTCATGTTCTTAGCAATAAGAATCATGTAAATTTCTGAAAGACTAGGACAGCATTGGTATTGGTCTGATACTTTGAGTAATTATCATGATCTTAGTGATACGGGTTCTGATTCCACAACTCTTTCTTGTAGCAGAATGTTTTTGATGCCTTCTAGGCTGTGTATCAATCCAATACATAATAAGAAAGGAATTTTTCATCAGTCAGACAATGCAACTTCGGAGGAAAAGTTAGTTTCATTTGGATTATTTTGCAATGAATCTTTTGTTTGAATAAAGATTGCACTAATACTTGCTGGGAACAAATAATAGAAAAGTACATCTTTAGGCTTAAACCAGTATTTTGAGGGTATTTTTGCTTCATTATCCACAGTGAAAGCTATATGCTGCTCTAGCTTCATTATTCAGTTGGATATATAAATCCTTATAAAAAAATCTTTTGATTGAAATGTTATATCCAACTTAGTTGTTCCAACAAGAACCCAGGGTCCAGAAGGTTTGTGATTGCATTGCAGACTCTACTTAGTCTAGTCTATATTCTTGTCAAGGCTTTTCAGTGGTCTAATATTTTTACTTATTACTGATTTTGTAGTATTTTGTCCTGGCTTGAAAGTCACAATATAGTAGGAGCTGAGAGATATTTGGCAGAAGGTCATTTCATCAATTATTTCATGGCTTCTTTTGGGTCTTACTGAGTTAAATCTGGGGTCCTACTCGAGGGAAATCAACCTCTA